GGCATTATTAAAAAGGTTTATTTATTTATTTATGAGGGAGAGAGAGAGGAGAGAAACAGAAAAAAAGAGACATATTCAATCAGTGGCTTACTCTCCAAATGGTTGCAACAGCTGGGGCTGTGCCAGGCTGAAGCCAGGAGCGAAGAACTCCATCAAGGTCAGCTACTGGGTGGCAGGGACCCAAGAACATGGGTCATCGGGTGCTACCTTCCCAAGTGGATTAGCAGGAAGCTGGGTCAGCAACAGAGGAGCAGGGACTCTACCTGGCATTCTTGTTAGAGGAGAAGTGGGGTCTAAATTCCTGTTCCGGATCCTTGCCTTCTACTAAGAGCAGTATTTTAAATACAGGCATGTATATGATGCACACAGTGGTAAAGTTCATTTAAAAGGTGAAAAAGTAGACACACACATGGGCATATTTGAGGCGTGGAGTGAGCCAGGAAGGGGAAGAGGTAGGAAGGGAAGTAGAGAGAGGGCAGCTCAATGCTCCATCTTGTCCTGGTCTCTGATGAAAGAAGAAGGGAGGAAATGGAGAGCCCTTCCCAGTTGCCTGCCTCCATTTTTAGGCTCAGCCCAGGCACCTGGAGAAGGGAGATACGTCCTGGGAAGGGGGCTGTTGCACTGACAGGCAGATAGGACTATGTAGACTGGGTGTGTGTTGGGGGTGGCTACCAGCTTGTGGTCCTAATCTAGCTCCCTGCCTTATCCCTTATCACTCTGATGGGAGCTATAGGCATCTCAAGCTGTGGTTTCACCTGCTATGCCACAACACTAACCCACACATGTTTGAGTGGCATTTCCAACCTCCAATAGATGTGAAGTTTTGTGAGGCCAGAGGCTATGTATTTATTTGCTTGTGATTACATTCCAAACGATGCTCAATAAGTATTTATTGAACTGTGCCAGCACTACAAGTAAAATTGAACAGTGTCAGGGTCAAGAAAATAAGATTTTACTGTGTGATTCATCATAGCAGTGTGGGACTTTGGATCCTGGTCAATTTAATAATTTCTTGAGGACACAATTATCAAGCAGGAAAATTGGAGAATTCCAGATAACCTAAAAATGAAGAGAATCTGTCACAGAGGTAGTAGGACACAAGTTTCAAAGAGCAGTCTCTTCTGTGAATTCTTCCCTGGTCAACTCCAGGGCTGCCAGCTATTTCCTCCTCTCATATGGTGCGTTATTTAAATGTTCATCTTCCTTCTTCAATTTCAATTCTTGCCTCTCACAGCAGGATGATGTTGTATTTCTATGCTTCTGTCTACCTCCTCACCTGATTCATTTCTTTTTTCTACATATTTATTTATTTTAAAGTCAGTGTTATACAGAGAGGGAGGGAGGGAGCAAGGAAGGAGGAGAGAGAGAGTGAGAGAGAGAGAGAAAATAAATCTTCCATCCATTGGTTCACTTCCCAAATGGTTGCAACATCTGGGGCTGGGCCAGGCTGAAGCCAGCAGACAGGAGCTTCTTCCAGGTCTCCCATGTGGGTGCAGGAGCCCAAGCACTTGGGCCATTTTCTGCTACTTTCCCAGGTGCATTAGCAGGGAGCTAGATGGGAAGTGGAATAGCTGGGTCTTGAACTGGTGCCCATACAGGATGCAGGCATCATGGATCGTGGCTTTACTTGCCATGCCACAGGGCTGGCCCCCACTCACATGATTTCTAACTTGGCAGGAAGGACTTCAACTAATCTTTGTTGAATGAATGAATTTGTACTTAAGGAAAGCTAAACCAGACCAGGAAGAACTGACACAGCCAGTGGTGGGCTGCACTGAGAGGACAGGAGTGGGTTCTGAGCCAACTGGAAGTCACTTGTCTCATTCTTGGTTATCTCTCCCACCTGTAACACATCTGTTTCACTGAAGGGCAATGAGAAATAAGTCACAAAACTTTTACAGCTTTTATTATGATCATCGTAGATTTGCTTCCATGGGAGACTTGTGGTTGGGAGGAAGGGTGGTGGATTTTGTAATCATGTAAATCCTGGTTCTAATTGCTATGAGTCATTAGGTTCTGCCCTCAGACAATCTGCCTGTGCTCCTGATTTCTCATCACACAATCTGATAACAGTATCTTGTTCTCCAGGTTGTCATGCGGCTCATGAGACAGTAGACATTTCAATGCCATGTGTGTGCTCCCAGTCTTTTCTTTCCCTACTCCATCCAGACCCAACCGACTACAAAAAAATTTTGTCTTTATCTGCAGCCTGCACAGCTTCCCTTCCTCCTCCATCCTAATGAGAATTCAGCCTTTGACAGCTATTTCTGCTGTTTTTTGCAATGTGGAATCAAGTGAATGAGTAACAAGAGACACAATCCGGAGAGGAGAGGTGGGAGGTAATAGAGAAAGGAACGAAAGACCAGAGCCTCCTGGCAGGAGCTCTAGGGAGGACTCTGGGGAGAAGGCGGGGCTAGAGATGGGCTCTAAGGCAGCAGAGTTGGGGTTGAGAGTCAAGGTTGTCTGGCTTTCAGGAACGTTGTTGTATACATTTTTTAAAAAATATTTATTTATTTATTTGAAAGACAGAATAACAGAAGGCAGAAGCAGAGAGAGAGAGAGAGAGAGAGAGAGAAAGAGAGAGAAAGAGAGAGAGAGGTCCTCCATCTGCTGCTTCACTCCTGAGATGGCTGCAACGGCCAGCCTCTTAGCTGTGGTGACGTCCTATGTAGGGCAAAGCCCTGCTGGCCTGCTTGTGGTGCTGGTGTAAACGTGGCTACTGTGCTGCTGGGCGTGTGACAGTACAACACATGCAGTCCCCTACACAATATAATTCCTGACAACAGTCGTAGGCCACGATGTTACTGGGTTATATATTTACTATACTCTATTTTTAAAAATGCCTGGATTCATTTATTTAATTCTTTGACAAGCAGAATGACAAATTGAGAGAGGGAAGAGAGAGAGAAGGACAGAAAGAGAGAGAATATTTCATCCTCTAACTCCTTTTTTTTTTTTAAGATTTATTTATTTGAAAGTCAGAGTTACACAGAGAGAGAAGGAGAGAGAGAGGGAGTGGGGGAGGGAGAGGGAGAGGGGGAGAGGGAGAGGGAGAGATGGAGAGAGAGAGAGAATCTTCCATTCACTGTTTCACTCCTCAACTGGCCACAATGGCCAGAACTGTGCCAATCCGAAGCCAGGAGCCAGGAGCTTCTTCCAGGTCTCCTACATGGGTGCAGGAAGGCCCAAGGACTTGGACCATCTTGTACTGCTTTCCCAGACCACAGCAGAGAGCGGGATCAGAGGAGGAGCAGCCGGGACTCGAACTGGCACCCACATGGGTTGCCAGCACTACAGGCGGCAGCTTTATCTGCTATGCCACAGTGCTGGCCCCGTGATTCACTCTTAAATGGCCACAAGAGGCAGGTCTGGGCCAAGCTGAAGCCAGGATCCTGGAACTCCATCGAAGTCTCCCACATGGGTAGCAGGGGCTCAGGCACTTGGGCCATCTTCTGCTGCTTTCTTAGGTACATTATCAGGGAGCTGGATCAGAAGTAGAGTAGCTAGGCCTGGAACCCTCCCTCCAATATGCTAGGCTGGTTTCCCAAGTGGTGTCCTGACCGGCTGCACCACAACACTGACCCCTCGAGTTCTTCTTTTCCAAACACTTTGTTATTTTATAATGTCCTCCCTCTATTTAGCAAAACAAAAGGTTGACTGCAAAACAGACTGCCCTGTGATGCAGGCAGCAGGCTCCTACCTCTTGGGCTTCACATGCCTGTTAAATGCATCCAGAGAACACGTCTGTGCAGGTGCTCCCTGTGATGTTCACACGGAGAGGAAGCTGCCTAAAAATGCAGTTCTTAGAATGTGCTCCTGGTGTTAAGTGGCACATGGCTGTGCCTAAGTGATAGAATGTGTTGAACTTCCTCAACCACCCCTGGGAACGCAGCAGGCACTTAACAAATTACTCCCACTGTCCCCACAGGAAAATGGTCTGACACCAACCTGGCCGACACAGTCAAAGTGGCGTGGCAGATGCTAGAATGCGGTTGCTGTGGACCACCACTGAAGTCCCCTTTACTTCAATTCTCGAGGTTTCTGGGGGAAATATTCTTGGAGCTTGAAGTATTTAGATGATTGATGCAAGTCTCCACTTTACTTGCCCAGAAATCAGAAAAAAAGCATTGCAAAGCTTGTTATAAAGTTGGTTGCTATTGGTTGCATTTCTTCTCTGGATTGCTTATTGAATGTAGTAAGACCGGATGCTCTCAAGGCAGCTGCCAATCATGAGTGGGATCTTGGCTCCCATTGGCTAGATTTGAGTTGATGTGGAGGTCAGCAATGTGATGACTCAAGCTGCCAGAGCAGGGCTGACCTTTCAAATTGACGTTGGCAGGTTCAGGGCTCTGCAGAAAGATTTGTAGCTCTGACTGGCAGTTATTTAACAACAACAACAAAAAAAAGTTAAAAAAAGAGGAGGAAGAAGAAGAAATCAAAAACAAATAAATAAAACAAGAAGAACAAGGAGATTTCAACATCAAAGGCATTAAACGCTGGGAAAGATAAAGAGAAGTTTCTGATGGTTTGGTCCTCATTGGTGGCTCCTGTTTTGGCTGTTCATTTTTACACACTTGTCTGTATTCTGGGGGAAACGGAGGGGAGGGAAGCATTCTCACTGATTTTTGTCAAGTGAAAGACGCTGAGTATGGTAATCAGTCCCTTCTGAAGAGCATGTGTGCCCTAGCAGCAATGATTTTGCAGTCCCTAATTGTTTCTCGCGTCAACCAAGACCAGAAGAGATGAAAGCAAGAAAGCAGAGACCACCCAAAGTGGGAATTTTAATCATGCACCAGGGGGTTTCTGGACTCCTCAAGTCGTGGAGAGACAAGCTGGGGATGGGGAAATGGAACAAATCCCAGTTTACACCTTGACACTTGCCCAAGCGCGGTTTTGATCTTTGCTTTTGTTTCTAATTGCCAGCGCTGTATTCCTGCAGAAGGGTGTGGGCGTTTGTTTAGGCACCTGTGCTGAATTCTAATCGGCTTGTTTTCTCATAGGCTCAATGAAGTTTATATTAAACGGCACGGAGTACAACACTCAAAAGGAATGACCCAGGTTTGACGTGCAGCTTCTCTCTCCATCAGGTAAGTGAAAATAAGCCTTCGCCTCGAGTTGTGCATTGGATGACTCCTTTAAAAGCGCGTCACTAAGGAGTCTTACCATGATCACCCATCACTCCCTCACCACCCATCCTTTCCATCATATTCTGGGAGCCCAACTGCCTGCTAAACCACCTCATGACCTTAGGAACAGAGCTAATTAACACCTACTTAGTGAGCTGTTGTGAGGAATATGAGGGTAACTCAAAAAGTTCATTTAAAAGTGAAAGGAAAAGATACGCTTATCATGGTTCAAAAAACTATGACATTCATGCAATTTTTTCATAACAGGCATTTTCCACTGACTTTTTTTTGACACCCTCATAGGCATGGATTTCAGCATTTGCTTGCATCAAGATAAACATGTATTTTAAATTTGATTTACATCAACTCTTTGAAGTACCTTCATATACACCTGTGGGGATAGGGAGGTAGACACACAGATGGAGAAGTGGGAAGAGAGCAGGGGAGAGTGCTTAGTACTGACGGGCGCACACTAGGCACTCAACACGAAGTCCTAATGCTCAGCCCTGCTTTGAACACTGGGAGCCCACATTATGTTAAACACAGGAAGGCACTGGGGTTGCAAGGATGAAAATCACATTCCATAAGGAACATTTGGGAACCTGAGATCCTCTTGGGCCTCTTGTTTATGGACATTGTGGGCTACATCTTCGGCTTTGGGAAAGCACCTGTCGTGCCTGGACACTGTAGCACTGCACGGAAGCAGGCAGAAACTGTGGTGTGTGTGCTGCTATTCTCTCCCACTTTGCTTCAGCGTGGATCTGGGCTGCTTCTTATCACTGGTGACCAAGGAAACCTGCATGTGGACTTGTAACAAACGTGGTTTGTGAGTGCTCCCACGGGTCGGAGAGACAAGGCCTTAGGGAAAGATCTAACCTCACTATTCCTTGAAGGATTGCAAAAGAAGTTTGAGGGCTGCAGAGGGTGTGGGATCTCGTTGGAATAATGACTCTCAATCACAAACTCTTGACAAACATCTGTTTTTTTTTTAATTTTTTTTTAATTTTTATTTTTTTTGACAGAGTGGACAGTGAGAGAGAGAGACAGAGAGAAAGGTCTTCCTTTGCCGTTGGTTCACCCTCCAATGGCTGCCGCGGCCGGCGTGCTGCGGCCAGCACACCGCGCCGATCCAATGGCAGGAGCCAGGTACTTCTCCTGGTCTCCCATGGGGTGCAGGGCCCAAGGACTTGGGCCATCCTCCACTGCACTACCTGGCCACAGCAGAGAGCTGGCCTGGAAGAGGGGCAACCGGGACAGAATCCGGCGCCCCAACCGGGACTAGAACCCGGTGTGCCGGCGCTGCAAGGTGGAGGATTAGCCTAGTGAGCCGCGCGCCGGTTTTAATGAGGGGTGATTAATGTACCAACTCCAGGCGTCTGTGGCAGAGCTTAGTGGAGGGCACTATTTGGAGGTGGGAAAGGAGATGGAGTCCCTGTGAGTATTTCATAATTTAACGCTTCAGAGACCGCTGAGGGCCGGGAGCAAGGAACCACGTTGAGATGCAGACTCTGATGCCTGAGGTATACGTTTCCTTCTGCAATTCCGAGTTCCCAGGTGCTGCTGGGCTTTGGGCCACACTTTGACTAACACGGCAGTAAATACAACATTTCAATAGCCATCTCCACTCCTACACCGAGGGAGCATTGTACCTCCACCGGTAGCCTCATTAAACTTCTTTCTTCGACTACTTTTTACAACCTTCCTGTCCTGATTCAGCTGGGAATTGAACTTGATTCATCAGGTGAGTTCTTTTCCAACCTCCTGGAGACGCATCTTCCAGAAAGACCAGTGAACAATGACTCTTCGGGGGCTTCTGTCCAGAACTCAGCAGGTGAGAGATGACACAACTTCCCTGGACTCAGCAGCAAACGTTCCATCTCTGCTGACTGCTGCTCTTCTCATGTTTGGACAACAATGATTAAAGGCCCACGCGTTTCCAGCTAAGTGTTGGCGATTGGCTGGCAGGCTTGCAAACACTCGCTTTTCCAGAGGTCGATAAGCATTGGGGGAATATTTTTCATGCTGAGCAGGACGACGCAAATTGCCCGGCATCTGGAACAAATTGCTGTATGGGTACCCGAGCTGCAGAGGAAGAGGCGAGAAAAGGCTGCCATCAGGAAACCTAGCGAAGCTTCCAGATTCACAGGCCAGGGAGGGGTGTGGCCACAGGACCCTGGGGGGCAGTGGAGCCCCCCTTTCAGGTGTGGGAGCAGCCGAGGATGAAGTCCATTCTGTAGCAGTGGAGAGCAGGGTTTTGCAGGGAGAATGGAAAATATGGACTCCCAAGAGAGGTGAAGGCCTCACTATAGATTTTGTAGGTCTATTATGTATCACTTAACAATGGGACATGGTCTGAACATGTACCGTTAGGTGATTGTGTTGTGTGACCATTGTACCTGCACAACCCTACACGTGGTAGCTGATGACACGGGAGCTGTGTTAGAGTTGTACCCCTCCTCAGCATTGGCTGAAGCATTGCTACCCTACACCTGACTGTTTCAATCACACGAGGCTCTGAGTTCCAGATCCAAGGGATACCAGCTAGAAGCTGACCTCCAGGCAGAGCCTCTGTGTGCCAGCGGCTGTGCCCTAGTCCCTCTATGTGTTATCCTGTTAATCCACAGAGCAACACTTCCAAGTAAGTAGGCTCGGTTTAGCCCCGTTTTATTGGTGAAGCAATGGGGGCCCACAGGGGAGAAGTGAGTGGCCTGGAGGCCGAGGAAACTCGGCAGCCTCCTGAGAACATGACAGTTGGGAAGGCACAGGCAGGGAGGCCACAGACATCTCCTGTCCTTGGGCTCTCCCTTCCCCTGGCTCTCATCTGGCTCACCCTTCCTGACTCCATCCCCTTGGCTCACTCCTCCTACTCCTACAGGAGTGGCCAAGAGGCCTGCAGTCATTTGGGAGAACTTGCCAGAGCCTTGCACCCCTCGCTCCTGCTTCCAGCTTGCATAGCCTAAGCCAGCTCTACCTCCTTTGGGTTCATTAGAATCAAAAGTAGCCATTGTCCACCGCCACTACACATACATTGGCTGAGGCCACTGACACAGCAGGAATCCCCTGCACCACCTTTAATCACTGCCCCTGGCATCACTTGTCCTGGCTTTGCGAATGGTCTGTGTCCTGTGCTGTGGCAGCAGAGCCAGATCAGGGACCAGAAGTCTCATGCTGTCTTTCCATCAGATTTTTAAAAATGATTTATTTATTCATTTCAACGAGTTACAGACACAGAGATGGGGAGACAGAGAGATCTTTCATCCAGTGGTTCACTCCTCAAATGGCTGCAATGACTGGGGCTGGGGATAGGCCAGGCCGAAGCCAGGAGCCAGGAGCTTCTTCCAGGTCTCCCATGCGGGAGCAGGGGTCCAGGCACTTGGGCCATCTTCTGTTGCTTTCCCAGGCCATACTCAGGGAGCAGGATCATAAGAGGAGGAACCGGGATGCAAACCAGTGCCCACATGGGATGCAGGCGCTGCACGCAGAGACTTAGCCTACTACTCTGCCACAGCTCCAGCCCTCCTAAGCTCATTCATAGTTCCTTTAGAAAAGCGAGGCTTCATTTGGCACAAACCCAACAACTTTGCCTTTCTGAGCACAGGATACGTTCACTAGTTCACCGTTTACTCCGAGTGCTATCCAGCCAGAAAGGATCTGGGAAGAAAACAAAAAAAAAAAAGACCTCCAGAGGAACGTGGATCACATTGGGTCAGCCTGGGGCAGAGCACTGCCTTGCTCGGTAACTGCACAGCTGTAGCCCAGGAGCCACCTAGATGTCCATCAACCAATGACTGGACAAAGAAACTGGTGTATACACACGTTGGAATACTGCTCAGTCATAAAGGAATGAAATCCTGACGTTGCAAAAAAAAAAAAATGGATGCAACTGGAGATCATGATGCTAAGTGAAATACGCCAGACCACGAAAGACAAATACCACATTCTCTTTTATTTGCAGTAGTTAATATAGAGAGAAGGTAAAAACTGTGTGGCTGTCATATCATTAGCTATAAATGTTGCTTCACTGAATCATATCACGTAAGTGACAATTGTCTTCATTCCCCCATTAAAGAAAAAAAGCAATGGAGGGGGAAATAGTGAGGACTTGTGGGGTACTAGTGATGTTTTCTTTCTAATTTGGGTGCTGGTTATGAATGTGAGCAGAGGACCGAAAACTCATTTATCTACGTTCTCATGTGCATTTCTTGGTATATGCACTGTATTTCGATAACTTGTTTATTAACAAAAAGAGCTGGTGCCTTTATATTTGTAGTCACCTTCTCTCAGCTCTTAAAGCCAGGAATCAGCATCATTTCCTTGATTACACTTACTTCATTACTTGTAGGTAATTTATTTATTTATTTGAGAGGCTAGAGATAGAGACAAAGACAAGCAGAGAGAGAGATCTTCCATCAGCTGGTTTACTCCCCCAGAGCCCTCAATGGCCAGTGCTTGGGCCCAGCCAAGTCTCAGAGTTGGGAACTCAATCCAGGTCTCCCCTGTGGGTGGCAGGAAGCTAACCACTGGAGCCGTCAGCGCTGCCTAGGGTGATGCACTAGCAGGAAGGTGGATGGGGAACGGAGCCAGGTACCAGGAAGGTGGATGGGGAACGGAGCCGGGTACCAAACGCAGGTTCCCTGATAAGGGACGTGAGTGTCTTAACCAGCATCCTAATTGCCAGGCCACGCACCTGCCCGGACGCAGTTATCACTGGCTGTGGTCCTACCACCCCCACCCCCTCAGTATTTGGATGCTTCCTGAATCTTTCCTGCACCTGAGACCATTCCGCAGAGCTGCCGATTAACACCAACACTGCCTCGACTCTGTGGACGCTCGGCCTCCCTGCTAAATTCATTACCTTTCTCGCGTTATGCTTTAGAAGTGTTTTGTGGCCGGCGCCGCGGCTCACTAGGCTAATCCTCCGCCTAGCGGTGCCGGCACACCGGGTTCTAGTCCCGGTTGGG